TTACCTACAAGGGAGCACCCATACGATTGTCAGCTGATTTCTCAACAGAAACTATGCCGGCTAGACGGGAGTGGCAAGAAATATTCAAAGTGATGAATAGCAAGAACCTACAACCAAGATTACCCAGCAAAGCTATCATTCAGAAATGTATCAACAAGTGAATCTAAAAATCAAGTGAATTAAAAATCTGATGAACAGAATAAACTGGTGAATATAATAGAATTAAGAGCATTGAAAGGGAGAGGACTGACAATTCTCGGGGGAAGGAGTGTGAGGGTACAGGAAGAGACTGAACAAAAATTATACACCTATGAATGAGGACAGTGGTGGGGGGGGGGGGTAAGGGCAGAGGGTGGGGTGAGAACCAGATGAAGGGGAGCTACGATGAGAGGGAGGAACAATTGTAATAATCTGAACAATAAAGACTTATTTTAAAAAAAAAACAACAGTAGCTAGTAATAAAATAGAACAATTATAACAATCTACTATAATAAAAGTTATGTGAATTTTGATCTTTCTTTTTCTCTCTATAACTGATCTGATAATGGAAACTGCTACTAAGTGACTAATGGGCAGGTAGCGTCTTTGGCTAGAGTTTCTTGACAAAGGAATGATTCACGTCCTGGTAGTACCGAGCCAGATGTCAAGAGATTTTATCACACTACTCATAGTGGCTTACAACTTAAAACTTACAAATTGTTTATTTCTGTAATTTTCTTTTTAATATTTTCAGACTGCACTTGACTGCGGGTAACTGAAACCGTGGAAAGAGAAACCAGAGATAAGGGAAGACTATGGTACAGAAGCAATTTTAGGCATGTTTGATAGTGGCATTTAGAGTATTCTGTGATGTCCAGCCTGGGGAAAAGTGCATGTTGGAGAATACTGGAAGAGAAAGTCTTAACAGGTTTTGAAAAGCCAAGTTATGAAGGACTTTGAAAGCCAGGTAGAGTTTAGATCTGATGGAGTAGCCAGAAGAGAGTCATTGAAAGTTATGAAGTAAGGGTGGAGGCATGACTAATTTTTAAGTAGGTGCCAGAAATACAAAAGATGAGATACAAATATAAGAAGGATTTAATGTGCTCATGAAGAATAGGTGCTTTGAATTATTTAAGAAGAGAGAGTTCTACCAAGGTTGCAGTTTGATTATTTTTTCATTTTGGGATTTGTTCATCTATTTAGCAGATTTTTTTAATATATATTTTATTGGTTTTTTACAGAGAGGAAGAGAGAGGGATTGAGAGTTAGAAACATCGATGAGAGAGAATCATCGATCAGTTGCCTCTTGCACACCCCCTACTGAGGATGTGCCCACAACCAAGGTATATGCTCTTGACTGGAATCGAACCTGGGACCTTTTAGTCCCTAGGCTGACGCTCTGTCCACTTAGCCAAACCGGTTTCGGCTATTTAGCAGATATTTTTATTTATACTGATTATGTGCAAGGTGCTGTGGGGGATATGCCCTCAAGGAGTTTTGGTGTTGTAAGGGATTTAAGGAATATAGCCTAATAATTTTGGTACTAAAGAAATGTGATAAAACCTTAAGAGAGGTATACAGAAAATGCTTTGTGAGAATATGTTTATTTTAGAGTAATGCTGTGCAATAGAAATACAATGTGAGCTACATATAGTTTAAAATTATCTTGTAACATTTTAAAAAATAAAAAGAAACAAGTAAAATTAATTTAACTACTTTATAAAAATTTAACTCCAAAATTTAAATATTGCAGTCTAAACATCTGACATTAGCCACGTGTGGCTAGTGGCTATCATATTAAACGGCTTGGGTGTAGTAGCTTATGAAAAGGCTTCATGGAGTAGTTGACGTTTGAGCCATGCTTGGGAAGAATTTTGTTTGCAGGGTAGATGGAAAAGGGCATTCCAGGAAGAGGAGTGGCTTGGTGAACAAAGAAAGAAAAGAATACTTTGTAAGAAAACCATTTTGCCTGAGAAATACAGTATTGCATGGAAGGCATGTTTTGGGAAAAATCTGGGAAAGATGGTTGGAAATACTTATTGGTGGGAAAAATTGGATTGGTATTGGGGACAAGAGGGGGCTTTAAAGGAATTTGAGCAGGAAGTGACTTTGTATCAGAGTGTCAGGGATGAAGAATGGATCTGGTAGCACAGACCTGAAGTGGGCTAAAGATAACAAGAGACTGAAAGTAGTGAGACTAGGGGAAGGCTCACGGGAGGTTTATTGTAGATGTAGAAGTAGGAACAATTTAATTTCTCCGTTGCCTGCTGCCTTCCTGCAAACTGCTGGGTGTTGCGTGACCCATTTCCTGTTGAAATCGGTCTTGCTGCTTCAGATCCATGTTATATAAGTCAGAAATTACATGAGCAGCAGGCGTCAGGGCATTTAGCTATGGCTTTTGCTTGTTGTAAGTTGGTTTTGTATGTGTAATTCAAATTTCTAAAATAGATTCATACTTTATTTAAGGGATGTGGTCAATCTTTCTATATCTTGATGGGTTCTCAATCTCCAAGGGCTCTTGCAGTGATCCCAAAGAAGCTTTGAAATATATGTCCCCAAACCAGAAAGATCCCATTTTATTTTGAGAAATAGAATGTGTACATTTGGGAGGTCCCAAGGAGAGTCAGGATTCTTTAAAGAGGTATGATTTAACTTTTAATGTTTGGGAAGGAGAGGAAGAGGTGTGTTTCTTACTTGGGGATCTAGTAGAGCCAGAGAGTTTCCAGGTCTCCTTTAGTAGTGTTGATCCTTCGTATTTCTCTATTACTCTTCTATAACACTGCATTGGATGGCTTAGCTCTGAATTGGCCTGTGGCCAGTACTTTATTAACTGGAATCTTTCCTATGTAGAGTTGCATAGGCGCTGTTTTATGAACTTGGAATGGACCACAAAGACTTCATGGTCAAGAAAGTTAGACATATTGAGAGAGTATATAATTTTAAGATTGTTGACAAATTTATAGTTATCGTAATACTGTCCTCCATTCCCGCCCCTCCAATAGAATGTTTTCTTGATGTGCTTCTATTATATTAGAGTAGACTAGGTTGTATTGTGGTAACAAACAGATGTTACCACCATGTCAGTGACTTAACCCAACAAAAGTTTGTTTCTTTTTCCCATTGCATGTCCAGTGCACATCTGCAGGGGTTCCTTCACCTTACAGACTCGGGTTACAGAAACTCCACTGTTTTGTGATAGCAGCTGCTGTAAGAAGAGAGTCTGATGAACCATAGTTTCTTTTAGCAGTTTCAACCTGGAAGTAGCATCATTTCTAGTTATATTTCATTGGACAGAACTAATCATGTGGCCCCTCCTACATGCAGGGGGTTGCCAGGAAATGTAGGAGAGCAAATAGATATTTTGAGAAGATTATTAACTCTCATAGTCTCATTCTAGTGATGTGGGTGAAGATGTCAAATGGATCAAGGTGAAACCTTTTCACTGAGTGTAAGCTTAGAGTTAGTGAGCCTTATGTAAAACACAGCTCTGAATATGATTTAGGTAATAAGCAGGGGGAAGAAATACTATAGTTCTGAACTAAAATACCAACTATTTGAATTGTCTAGATGTGGGGTGTATCTTATCACTGTGTTCCATCCCATAAAATACTTTTATATGGTACAGGCATCTGTAGAATTTCTCACTTGAAAATACAAAAATGACTTTTAAGGCAAAACCAGTTTGTGAATAGGGCTTATACTTCCTTTTCTATTTTAAAATTATTAACCATTTTCAGAGTCTTAAATTTTTATACCATATATTTGTGTGTGTATGCGTTGTGTGTGTGTGTGTGTGTATAGAGAGAATTTGTTTTAAAAATAATGATATTCCCATTACTATTTAAAGTAGTATTTTATCTTTTTATACTTTGGAATGTTAGTGGATTTTTATACCGGCACAGATGGATATATTGAAATTTAAATCAATAGTACATAAAATTAATTTGTATTTAGCTAATTTTTAGCTACATGTTATCCAAAACTTACTGTATTCTCTATAAATGGTGATTATTATAGTGGGGAATTGACTAAGGTGAGGTGAGTAATTTAAAAGGCATTCACTGATTGGTATATAAAGAGTTTGATAAAATGATAAACTGAAGCCACTAAGATTTTTGTCTATTTCAGAGAAACTTTTAGAGGAACTCAATTATAATTTGAAGTTCTGTTGCTGTGCATGTTGTAGAATACACTCATATCTCTTGCAACCTATACCATGTATTGAATTAGTGCCTGATTATTGTATATAATTCTGTGGAGGATTGGTAGTTTTTTCATTTTCCACTGAGGAAACAAAGCTCAGAGGCTAAGTGATTTGACCAAGGTCATACCACTTGTAAGTAGCAGGACTGGTGGTGGAGCCAAATTTGCCTGCCCATGATTTATGCTACAGTGTATTCTTGTAACAAATTTAGCAAATCATAGAAGATCTAAAAATGTCACATATTTTTTAGGTACCTACTGCTTGATGGGCACTGCCAAATATAACATAAAATCTTATGTTTTGCTTGAAGATTAAAACAATCATCACAGTTAAGATATTTTTCCCTACATTATTTGGTCAAAACAGGACAATTCTTGGAAAAAGTAAAGAACATATGTAGCATAAGTTTTTAAAGAAATCATTAAGCAGTCTCTGTGTTTTGAGGAATGTAGAAGAAAACAAAAACTATAGAGAGAGACACTTAAATTTGAGTTCTAGCTTTCTATCATCTCTAAGCTGTGTTGCCTTCCCTGAACCTCTATTTCTTCACCTCAAAGAAGGGGGACGGATTATTATGACCATATCTACCCTGTAGTATTGTTGGGGAAATTAATTGACCAAAGTAAGAAAAAAATCTTAGCAAAATACCTAAGTTGATAGGTGTGTCTGGTCAGTATTGTTGAGGGCATCTGGAAATAGATGTTACACATACAGGTATGTTTCTTTTCAGATGGGTGGAAGAAGAGTCACGCATGCATTTTCTGGGCCCTGACACCTGACATTTGCTTCTCTTTTTCTCTTGTTCTTGTTTTAGGGAATGACCATGGATAAAAGTGAGCTGGTACAGAAAGCCAAACTCGCCGAACAGGCTGAGCGCTATGATGACATGGCTGCCGCTATGAAGGCAGTCACGGAGCAGGGGCACGAACTCTCCAATGAAGAGAGAAATCTGCTCTCTGTCGCCTATAAGAATGTGGTAGGCGCCCGCCGTTCTTCCTGGCGTGTCATCTCCAGCATTGAACAGAAAACAGAGAGGAACGAGAAGAAGCAGCAGATGGGCAAAGAGTACCGGGAGAAGATAGAGGCAGAACTGCAGGACATCTGCAACGATGTTCTGGTAAGGCCAGTGGTTCTGTTTCAAACAGTGATTTGTAACTTGTATTAACTTAATGTTCAAATGCAAACTCTCAAACAGCTTATGAGACAAAGGTGTCTGAATATACTGGAAAGCTGAAAACCATTTGCAAGTAATTTTTAAACATATGAAGTGATTTTTCTTACCTCTTACTTGATCAGAGGTTGCTTGTCATTTATGGGGAATTTTCCCTCTCCCTTCAAAATGACCCATGAAAAATAGGAACATTGAGTCAACATTCCTCCATCTTTTCTTTAGAAATCGAATCCAGATAGGCAGGATTATAGTAGATAGAAGCAGTACAGATAGGCTATTCTGTATATTAGGAGCAAAAAACTAGCCTGCCTTTTAGCCTCTGCCCCATGTAAAGTCCTGCTTTTGTCCAAAAGTTAGCCATGTAGATCTGTTTGGGGATTTTCCTCTTCTATGTTTTATAGAAACCTTGGTCAGATGATTGGTTCCTAACTACTTTCACTCTGACCACCATTTGGGGTTGGATGGGAGGGGTGCATATCCTACTTTCCCTCACATCCTGAGCCCACTGGGAACTTTCTTTCTCTTCCAGGTGAAATCAGGTAAAAATGAACGGTGAGGGCTGCTTTGAAGGGAAAAGGAATTCACACTTGTGGATCTACCTCATCCCCTGCTGGCTGCCTCTCCGAATTAGTGCCCATGACACCTTTCTTTTGAAAACCTGTACAGAGCTTGTCAGTTATCAGGCAGTTCTCCTCATCCCTAACCCATAAGGAGTTGCACCCTGTCTGTCTGCAAAGAATTAAAATTAATATTGCTCTTTGCATCTTTTCACTTCGATTGATCACATCCCCTTATAACTAAGCTTTTGCATTGAGCTGCTCTTTTTGTTAGACTCATAGTGTAAGAATGTCATGACTGAATTTGCTGCCGGTTGGTAATGGGGGTTTGTTAATGGTGCACTAATTCCTGAATGTTAGGTGCATCTGATATTCAGATGAAGTATGGCATGTATTCCAAAGGCAAGAAAGTTCCATAATTCCTGAAAATGTAGACCAGCTTTTAAGAGCATCTGAAAGAATGTGAAGAACGCATGGTACTTACTGCCTCTTAACCAGTTTTTCAGGATGCCACATTCTAAAACAACTCTTCGAAAATATTGCTCTGTTTACGAAGCTTGGACTCCTTCAGAACTGCTTTTGTTGTAAGCATAAATGTTTAAAGGAATTTATTATTAATAGTAGTAGCTACCTTTTGAGTGCTTACTATGTGCCAGGCAACATGTTAAGCACTTTATGTATTTAGCTCTTTCTCATAACTACTCTAGAAGATGGCTATTGTGCTTCCTATTGGAGAGCAGCGGAAACTGAGGCTAAGGATAGTTAGGTCATTTGTCCAAGGTCATACAGACAGTTCCTATCACCTAGAGAATCATTATTAACATTGAAAAAGTATCATTCCAGACTTTTTCTGTACACATTTTTGTGCGTGTAGACACATTTTTTAATATTAAAATAGGATTCATGTGATATTTGTAATCTGCCATTTTTATTTCACTCAGACTTTTTTTGAGAACCTTTTCATATTAACAGTGTAGTTCCGCATCTCATTTTTAAGGCCTACATAGCATTCCATTGTATGGCTCTACTTTAATCAACCCCTTATGGATGGTGAAGTGATTTTTAACAGAAGAAAACAGACATCTGCTAAAAACTCTTAAACGCTTTGGATGAAAAATGTTTTTTAAATCTTCAAAAAAATATTTAGAAGTGGTAGTGTGTATCTTGAATCTCAGACATAGTTTTAACATCTTGTAAATAATATTTCCAGTTTCTTAACAAAATGTGAATCATTTTTTAGGAGCTGTTGGACAAATACCTTATTCCCAATGCTACACAACCAGAAAGTAAGGTGTTCTACTTGAAAATGAAAGGAGATTATTTTAGATATCTTTCTGAGGTGGCTTCTGGAGACAATAAGCAAAGTAAGTAACATTCAAAAAAGGAAAAGGAATTTGAGCACTAGTGGAGTCAGTCTTCCTTTATAATAATTTTAACAGGTTTTGTCTTGTCTATTCTCTGTAGACACTACCATCACAGTACTCAGAAAGACCACAGCATTATGCTGACCTGTGTGATAAACGGGGTTATGGGGGTTGACAGATCAAAATGTATCTAAGGGGAAGATAGGGAGGGGATTAAAAGTCTAGTGCAGTCCTAACCAGTTTAGTTTAGTGGATAAAGTGTCAGCCCATTGACTGAAGGGTCACAGGTTCAATTCTGGTCAAGAACACGTACCTCAGGTGCAGGCTTCATCCCTGGTCCTGATTGGGGAGCAAGCAGGAGTCAAATCAATTGATATTTCTCTCTCACATCATTGTTTCTCCCTCCTTCCCCCAAAAAATACCCTGCAGTGAGAATTTTTAATTTTAACAAAAATTAAAAATAAAAGTCTGGTGTAGTAATACTTTCAAAGAGAATTTTAACTTGAGGATTATTTGGTAGCTCTCCTTAGAGGTGAAACTTGAGCATGAAAGCACCATATAAAGAGTGATACATCTCTTTTATCTCTTACTTGTATTACTGTGATGGTGATAATTATAGCTGTGTTTTATTAAGTGCCAAATATTGTAGTCTTATTTATTCCTTACACAACCCTGAGAGTTTGGGTGGAAGTCTGTTCATTCTTCTGATAAGGAAACCAAAGCTACAGAGGTTTTCACTTCAAGCCACACACCTATTGAATAAGAGCTGGTAATTCAAGTTTGGGTTCACAGTCCATGACCTTTCCACTAGAGCATGTTTTTTATGTTCTGTCTTGCTAAAGGTTATTTCTGTATTTCTTACTGCTTTCGTAGGCTTTGTCATATTGTTTTTCCCCTAAAGCATTTAATGTATTATAGTACTTAGAACAAACATTTAGCAAATGATTGTTAATCCATTTAATTCAGCCCAGTTTGGTAAAATAATTTGATAGTGGTCCAGTGTGTGATACAGCCTCTGAAAGAATCCAATCTTTAATATTTTTTTACCTTTCTTTTAGCCACTGTGTCGAACTCTCAGCAGGCTTACCAGGAAGCATTTGAAATTAGTAAGAAAGAAATGCAGCCTACACACCCCATTCGACTTGGCCTGGCACTGAATTTCTCAGTGTTTTACTACGAGATCCTGAACTCTCCTGAAAAGGCTTGCAGCCTGGCGAAAACGGTGAGAAAGGCCCTCTGGTTTCTTACTATAGTAAAACAGAGCTGTTCTTAGTAACTTACTTCCTGAATATAACTCACTGTCTTGGACTATTTTCATAAAATATATATTCGAGTATATATTTTATGAAATAAATTCATACCTACTTTCTGATTTCTTCTCACCACCTGCTATTTTGTGTTTTATTTTTGTTGTTTGATTAGTATTTTTGGGGGGGAGGGAGGTTGTGAAAAATTCAGAGTGAAGGCAGTTTGTTGTTTCTTGTCAAGCTTTGGGTTATAGAATTTGGAAAAAGTGTGTTAAGTGAAGTTCTGTTCTCCCTTGATTCTTTGTATCCAGATGTTTTGAGTTGTAGTTTTTTTGTTTTGTTTTTGTTGTTGTTTTCTTCTTAAAGGATTACTAGAAATGTCTTTGGTAATTAAAAAATTACATGAATTTGCCTAGAATGAATGCTCTATTAACTGATACCTGCTGACTTATCTAAAAATTTTTGTCATTGTTGGTGCTTTATAAACTCTCATTACGGTATATGTTTGCTGCAACAGCTGGCAAACAAGGTAATAATGGCCTAGGTTCTCCCAAGGTGCTGGACAGGATAAATTATTTTCATTTGTTAGCAGGAAAAAATTGGACTAAATGTGCTTCAGAAAACCTGTGATTTCTTTGCTAAGGGCTCTTTGTTGTAGGCATTTGATGAAGCAATTGCTGAATTGGATACACTGAATGAAGAGTCGTACAAAGACAGCACGCTGATCATGCAGTTGCTTAGGGACAATCTCACTGTAAGTACTACTGGTTTCAGTGACTGCTTTTGGAGGGGTCACAGTCTACTCACCCACCTCATAATTCACTATTGCCCAAGACCCAAGAGAGGTTTGTGCCTTGTAAGTGTTAAATAGGTTCGATTTAAGTGTTGAATGAGTACTAAAGTTTTGACCTTTTTAGTCACCACTGTTGGCCCTCATACAGGAATAATCTTATAAACAGTTGAGGGAGATAAGGCACTGCAGATGGGAAACCGCCGAGAGTACATTTTAGTAGCCCTGCTTTGATCATAACTCTGTTTTTCTCTTGCAGCTGTGGACGTCGGAAAACCAGGGAGATGAAGGAGATGCTGGGGAGGGAGAGAACTAATGTCTATTGTGCTCCGTGATCTGTTCAGTGTCACTCTGTACCCTCCACCTATATCCCTTTGTGCGATAAAAAAAAAAAAAGAAAGAAAGAAAAAAAGAATCGTACATTGACTTTTCAATTTTTCACAGCCTCAGCCTAGCAAAAATGGTTCATGGGATAAACAGCTGGTATTTGTATCTTAAACTCAGATTGGTCACATAAATGCCACGGCATTCTGAAGTTTTGATTTTTAACATTGACAGGATTACTGTGTGTTTAATTTTTTTAAAAAACTAAACACTGTGATTATGGGGTTTTGTAACTAAGCAGAACTCTTACTGGTAGAAAAATAGACCTGAAATATCTGTAACTTTGGGGAAAGTTTAAACAGTCACTGAAATACTGCTCCATTGTAAAGTTGTACAGAAAGTTGTAGTGATTATATTGTGATGCTGGGACTTGGTGTGAGATACCTGCCATTTCACATTCGAGTTTAATGGCAATTCACAGTAATTATGCCTGTTCAGGGCTTAGACGCTTGACCAGTTGGGGCTCTTGCCGCTCAAAAGTTCATGACCGCAGAGTCCAGTGTCTTCCTCTGAGGAAACTCGGAGCTGAACATTGAAATTCTTTGTGGCAGTTAACTGGGTTATGACATCATGGGAAGGTCCAGTGCTCATACAACACGCGTGACTAAAACCCCTGTCCTACAACAATGTCACTGGTTTGCAACTTGTGCTTCAGTCGTGGAATATTTTCCTTATAATCATGAGCTAAAAAAGAAAGCAAGCCGTGTATCTTATGAATGGCCTTATCTGTCTCCTGGGTAGTCACTTTATGAATAATGTTCTGCAGAGATTGCCTTTCACATGAGGAATATTCAGTCTTTGGGTTCTTCCTAGCTCCGGGCTTTTAAATTCTGAAATCTAAACATTCTTTCCCACTGTCTTTTTGACTGTTGACTTTGTTTTTTCTCTTTCTAAGCTTCTGTCCTGCTGCTTTACCTTTTTCTTTCTTTTTGAAATTTATCTTTATTTTTCCTTTGTTCACAGTTTAATACTATATGGACAGGGACAGGAGGCCTGGAGGGGTGAGAGGGAAATGGGAGGGCACTTGGTGAGCAGGCCTTGTTTCAGTCCAGAGGAGCTTCCAGCACCCAGCTCTGTCTTCCTCCAGTTCTCAGCACAGCTGTTCTTCCGTCACCAAGATCTGAATCAAACAGTATTTTTAAAAATCCATGACTCCTCTCGGTATTAACAGCCAGCCCTGATAATGCTTGTTGATACCTGATCTCCCAACTGTACTCATCCAGCCAAGTTCACAGACGTGTTTAAACAAGACCCTCTGATGCAGGGAAGTTGCATGATCACTGCATTGGGGAGAATCCAGAATACCCAGGCCTACCAGTTTCACAGTATTCCCCCTCTCCTTAACATTCCACATAGCTGTAGTATCCATCTGTTTGTCCATCTGCTGAATGAGAAAAGAAACCTTCATGCACTGATGAAAACAAACCAAAAAGAAAAAAAGAAAAAAAAAATCCCTCCTTTCTAGCTGAACAAAAAATGTGCAGTTAAATACTTGGCGCTTGAAAATGCAGTAGTGAACGTGGAACAAGCCTGTCTGTATATCTGGTAGCTCTTTCTTGCTTTGTTTTTCCTTACCAGTATTCTGCCTCACGTTTGCTTCTGTGATGGTTATATTGCCTAGCAAGCACACCCGTGGTTGTGAAAATAGTATAGCAAAAAAAGAAAATCCCCGGTTATTGATGTACTAGATTTGTGTATGTCTTTTAAACAGTTCTAGTTTCCACCTTACACGGAATAATCAGGAAACGTGTAAAAATTCAAAAGTGAAATAAAAAATTTTATCAGTTAGTTGCCTGTGAATTAATGTTAATGTGTGGTACCATTTCTATCACTACAGAATTAGCTAACTTTTTTTTTATCACACTCATTTTAGGCACTACTCTTTCTTTAAAAGTAGGCAACAGCTTTATGTCATCCTTTAGAACTTGAAGTCAAAGTGTTGTCAAAGGAAAGAAATTACCATTAATACAAAGCCTACTCACCTTATATAAACCACTTTAGGTCTTTGGGAGCTTCTAAAATTTGGTGATGCCAGTGGATTTTGCATCCCATTCAAGTATCTTTCCCCCTCCCACCCCAACCCCCTTTTTTAAAAAACCCTGAGATGTAACCAAGACAGATGGTTACATAAGGCCTGGTCACCTCCAAAATAAAAGTCTGGCATCTGTCTTAACACTATGGTAGCCAGTAGCTCTTGTGTTTCCTCATGTGATTTCTCACAAGGAGAGGGGGGGTGGGAATGATTAAGAGAGAGTAATTTTTAGTCCAAGATTAGAATTTATTGGTGGCTACTTGCTACTGTAGGCTGGGCAGGCAGAGCAGCTCCTGCCCCTGGTTCTGGAACTGTTGCACCTTTCAGAGACACAACCAACCAAAGGTCAGGGGACCTGCTTTGCTGCAGTAGAGAAATCAGGAGGGTGCGCCCCTCCTAGAGGTCAGATGAAGTACTGTCCCACAATGGATTGGGAATTCTTCAGAAATGACTCCACAGTCATCTGCAAACTCAAGATTGATAGAAGGTCTTGCTGTTCCCCTCGGGACCACCGTCCTAACCTCATTGGGGCCCCACTGTTCCTTAGAGTACCTCGGTGAGCTTTCCTGGTGTGCAGATGGAATGGATCCTTAAATGAGAAAGGTGGGCAGGGAATATCCCAGCAAACTACATCGGCAGTGCCAAAGAAGGCCTTGGTGGTCTCCAATTCCCACATGGAGCCTTCAGTCCCAAGTCACTAGGCTGGTTCCAGAAGGGGGGCTGGATTGGGCTTCCTTGAGAAAGACACCTTTTAGCTGGCTGGGTAGGTACACGGCTTTGAAACTAGCCAGGCATCCGGCTCCAGATGCTCCTGTTAGTAATGTGCAGTCTCCTTTAATGCTTACCAAGAAGCGCCCTAAAGGCTATAGCTTTGGGGATTACAACCCAGGTTTCAGGCCCCAGCTCAGGCCAGGTGAGGGCTCTCCCGCCTCCGGAGGCGGGGCCGAAGGGGTCTCCCACCGGAGGCTTCTAAGCCGCTGAGGGGTCCCAGGTGGGGAGCTGAGGGGAGGGGCCGGGGCGTAGGCACGCCCCGATTGGCACGCGGGCGCCGGGGGCGGTAAAAGACGGGGCGGGCGCGCGGGCAGGGAGAGTCCGCCGCCGAGGGGCCGCCCAGGGGACGCACGCGGGGCGCGGGGCTGGCACCTCGTCCCCCCCACCCACCATGAGCGCCAGCGGCCCGGGCCTCCCGCTTGCCTCGCTCTACGTGGGCGACCTGCACCCCGACGTGACCGAGGCCATGCTGTACGAGAAGTTCTCGCTGGCCGGACCCATCCTGTCCATCCGCGTGTGCCGCGACGTAGCCACCCGCCGCTCGCTGGGCTATGCCTACATCAACTTCCAGCAGCCGGCCGACGGTGAGCCCGGGGCCGGGACAGGCGGGCTGACGCAGATGAACCCATCTCCCCATCCCCGCCAGCCGCTCTTCCATCTCTGCTCCTGCATCTTCCGTTTTGCAGCCAGGGAAACGGACCCGGAGAGCCCCCTGAGGCCCTGAGGCTGGAACTAGCAATTAGTGTGCGCCTACTGTGTTTTCCTGGTGCTCCAGCTTGGAGAGGGGAGGTATTAAGGCTGAGTGGAAACATCCAAGGGCTTCAGGGCCAGGCCAACCCTAGGATTAGTAAGCCAGCAGCTGTGTGACTTTAAACAAATTACTCAACCGTCCTGAGCTTCCCTTGCCTGTCTGAAAAATGGGGAGCGGGCCTGCTTGATAGAGTGGTTGGGAGAAGAAAATTTAAAGCACCAGATGAGGGCGATGTGGGAGGCGACATAGGTAACCAGTCGGGGAGCCAGGAGAGGTGGGCCTGGGGCTCAGCCTCTGCCGGCTGCTGACACGAGGTCTGCACCAGGCGCTGTTCCCTTGATAAGCCCAGAAAAGCCGCCTCCACTTTAGGGTCTACAACCCGTTTCTCAGAGCTGATGGGATTGATTAGCGCCTGGGTGTGCCCACACCTCTGGTGAGAAAGGAGAGTTTAAGAGCCCCGGTTTTGTTCAAGTTCTGCCACTAGGGTGTGAGCTTGAGCAAAAGTTCACACTTGACAGTGCACCTGTGAAATGGGAGCTAAGGCTTGGAAGAACTATCTATGAAGTCTCCAGTATATTGTATGGGCTCAATAAGTGTAACCTAAGGGGGGGAAAATAGTAACCAGCATTCAGGTGGAAGACTCCAGAAACAACCCAAAAAGGCCTGCCCTTACTGAGCCTTCAACCCAATCAGGCCAGAGAGGGCGCCCTTACTCTGCATCTCCTAGGTGGATGGGGAGGTCTCCCCCAATCCAACACCCCCAGCTGGGGTGGTTCAGCCTGTTCCCCAGGGGATGACTGAGCTGGATTCCAGGGGGACTTCTCCTTTGCTCTGCTTTCCCCATCCACTGCCATTTCCAGCTTTCTCCAAGTTCTCTGCACACCTGACCTTTTGGGCAGACTTCATAGATGGGGAAGCTGAGCTCCAGAGAGAAGGGGTTTAGCCCCTGGGTGTTCATTGGTAGAACTAGATGGAAAAACCAGACTCCACTGAGTTCTGCACAGTTCCTGACCATCCTCCGGAAGTAGAGAATCCTTTAAGCAGGGGACAGCATGTTACCCGGGAGAGGTAAAGGCATAGCAGTCGCAAGAGGACAGGCATAGGCTGCTGTTTTCAGACACACTGCCATTTGCCAACCATCTGTTTGTGCCAGGTGCTAAGGACAAGGCACCTTGCATACCTTACTTAATTTTCAGCCTATCCGACTACCTAGAGGTAGAGGGTATTATTTCCCTTTGTTAGGTGTGAAAGGGTGGTTAAGATCACTACCATCATCATCATCACTACTTTAGAGGAAGAAACAGCTCAGAGAGGTGATGTTTGCCTCCCCCAAAACCTTTCTACTTCGCATCAAATTTCAACTCTGCTGCTCAGCACC